CACACAGCAGCCTAGCTGCTAAAGTCTTCACCTTGAGCGCACCACCCCTGCTTCTCTTCCAGCTCCCTGCCTGTGGCCTGGGAAAGCAGTCACGGATGGTCCAAAGCCTTGGGACCCTGCACCCATGTAGGAGACCCAGAGGCGGCTCCTGGCTCCTGGCTTCGGATCGGCTCACCTCCAGCAGTTGTGCTCACCTGGGGAGTGAATCAGCAGACAGATCTTCCTCTCTGTCTCTCCTCCTCTCTGTATATCTGACTTTGCAGTAATAAATAAATCTTTAAGAAAAAAAAAAAAAGCAATGAAAAATCACTTTGTCTTTCCAAGCTGGAAACTTTCATAGGGACTAAGGCTGGTAGCTCACAACCGAAGACTTGAATATTCATAACACGATTGTGTCAAAGCTTACTGATATCTGCTTCAATGTAATCTCTTTTCCAATTAATTCTGTTGAGATTTTGGAAGAGAAAAACCCTAAGGTCTTAGGTCGTTATGAAGCTGTCCATGAGTCAGGATCCGTGGAAATCAATGTCTAAAACGGATTAACGCTCTGTGCACAGGGACAGCCAGCTTACTGAGGACGGGGAGACGCAGACACTGCCTTAGTCACTGCATGAAAAAGAATTCCTACTTGAAAAAGGTCGTGGGGGAAAAACCTTGTGCTGACTGATACACACAGACGCTTGATATCTTGAGTATTAACCTAACATCCTCAATTCCTAAGAAAGAAAAACTGAACAGGACACCTGTCAGCCCAACGTTTTAGACAGAAATTCCTGAATAAGCCCCCACATTTTTAGATGGAATATCATCCCTGTAACTTGTTTAATAAGGAAGTGTTATAATCAGCACCTCCCTTGGTATTGTCTGCATAACAAGAGAAACGCACCATGAACAGACTGGGAATCAGCTACTAATCTATAGTCTTGTTAGTTACAGTTAATAACTAAAAACTACAGATACCCCACTGTGTTAGTCTTTTGTATTCAGCAAAAGCAACAAAACTTTATGATTCTCCATTTTTGGTTTCCAAAGAAAGTCCAGATTAGGTAGAAGGAAAGAAAACCATAGATTCTACGTGCCGATTTATCCCCGGATACCTCCACGGGCGCCAGGCCTGGGAATTCCGCGTGGGTCTCCCGGCGGGCAGCAGGACCCCATGGGCGTGAGCACCTGCTGCTCCAGGGTGCGCAGGAACCAAAGCCTGCGCAGAAGCAGAGCCCGCAGTCCAACGGAAGGCCTCTGATGTGGGATGAAGCTTCCAGGCAGCGTGGCCCACACCCTCCTCCGGGGGCCACGGAAAAGAGCGAGTTATAAGCACCAGGAGGCCCAGCGGGCTTCGAAGAACAGCACTCCATATCCCGGGTGAGTCTCTTGTGTCACCAAAAAAAGTGCGCGGACTAGGCTAACACAAGGTCTGGTAAAATCCCGAGCTCTCCGTAACACAGCTCACACACACTAGCTTTAGACTGAGTCATCCCCAACCAAAAAAAAAAAAAAAAAAGCTAAAGCTAATTTTCTCTCTTGGCTTTTGGATATGCAAATTACATTCTAAGAAATTAATCATGTGTACCTCAGATCCTATTAGGAGTAGGCACGGACTCCTGGGCGGTCATCTGCTTATTCTATTTCGAGAAATTCCAAGTGAAGTTAGGGCAAGCATGGAGCCCAGGAGATGAGGGGCCAGCGCTGCGGGAGGAGGCAAGTTCAGCGCTCAGGTCTGGTGCTGCCCCAGCTTGCTGCTCACACAGCCTGCAGGCAGCAGGCACAGACAGCTCAAGGACTCAGCGACGTGGCAGATGGACTGAGCGCCGGTGCAGCCAGCAGCGTGGCAGCCCTGGCTGGTGCAAGGCGCCGGGGGTGAACCAACGGATGGCTGGGCTCTCCGTCTCCCAATGAAGTAAAAAACTACAAAAGCAAACATAGACTAACAGTAATAATAAAGACAAATATCACACTTGTGCCGGATGACCAACAAGGTACTAGAAGTTTCCATTTTTTCCAGTTACTCATCACATTCTCATGGTAGCTCATTTCCTTCGTCTCACTTTTTTTTCATTTTTAAAACCTAACCACTAAAAATGTCATAAGGTAAGGCAGAAGCTTATTGCCATTAATAAATTTAGGAACTAAAATATCTTACTGACTGAAAAAAAAAGAAAAGAAAAGCTCACATCAATGCTCAGAGGGATACTTTTGTGGAGTTCCAAATTTCTACAGCATAATCACAAACATTATATATAAACATTTTTATTTCCTAGGAATTGAGAGAAGTAAGACAGGAAACACATCATACTCCTCAGTCTCCCTTTGGCATTATTAGAACCTTATAACCTTCTGTTCACCTTTTGTTGTAATTTAAACTTAATTTAAAAAAAAAAATACAGAAAAGTTCCGGCAAGCAAGCTGAGGATCCCCAGGTTGAATCAGACATCTGTCCAGCAGAGGGCGCGGTAGGTGCAGCATCGAAAACGCAAGGTGAGTGGCTGGCCGCTCAGAGCCTGCGGTTTTGCTGGGCAACTTTTACAGCCCACGGTCTGGATGCTGCTTCCTCCGTGGTGGGGTGGAAAATGTGTGTCACATTAATGTGAGGCAACCCAATTTGGCCAAAGCCAGCGGCAGCAAAAGCCCAAAGGGAACTTCCCAAATGAAAGCTCTTGCTTTAAATACGTCAGCCTGTCCTTACAAAGGCATCAACTTCTTGAGGAAAAGGTCTGACTGGCGTAGGTACTGTCTTAACTCTTCAAAATCTTCATACACATGGGCCCAGCGCGATATCCTAGCAGCTAAAGTCCTCACCTTGCATGTGCTGGGATTGCGTATGGGCTCCAGTTCTAATTCCAGCAGCTCCACTTCCCATCCAGCTCCCTGTTTGTGGCCTGTGAAAGCAGTCCAGGACCACCCAAAGCCCAAGTGGGAGATCTGGAAGAGGCTCTGGGCTCCTGTCTTCGGATTGGCTCAGTTCTGACCATTGCGGTCACTTGGGGAGTGAATCAATGGACAGAAGAGCTTCCTCTCTCTGTATATCTGACTTTCTAATTAAAAATAAATAAATAAAATAACTCTTTAAAAAATTGATACATGCAAAAATTAACTGGCTTATATTTAGATGTCTCAATCATACATAACTTTCAGGAAAATACTGTTTGCCTCTTAGTTGTTGCCAATATGAAAGGTTCGTGAATAAAGTTAGAAGAAAAAGCCTGGCAGGCAAGACAGGTCCTGGAACAACAGGTGAGCCAGAGGTGTGACGCAACTGTCCCTACAGCCTCTGGTTAGGTGTCCTGGCCCGGCCAGGCCAGAGCTGTCTCCACATTGACCCTGGGGCACAGCCCCTGCCCTGCGTGTGCGCTGCGGTCTGTGGGAACACTCCCCTCCAACACCCTGCCTTAACAGTACACTGAGGCTTTGATCGGCGAGCTGAACCAGGTGTCTGCATGTTAGCCACACTTAATAAATACGTGTTACATGGTGTGAAAGCAAAGGGGCCTTGGTGTGTGTGTGTGTGTGTGTGTGTGTGTGTGTGTGTGTGTGTTAAAGAGCTTATGCTCAAGAAAAATAACACCTTTACAGTTTGCAAACGTTTTACAATGCCTTCCTGGAGCGTATGTCAGGCTTACCGGGTGAGCCTCCCACATCCAGAACGTCTGCATTGAATCCTGGGTTCTGGTTTACCTCCTCTAATCCTCACCTCCCTGGGGGCAGCAGGCAAGGGCCCATGACTGAACTCAGGCTGCAGCCTGACCCAGGCCTGGGAGTTGCAAGCACCTGGGGAGGGGGGCGTGAGCAGAAGAGCTTTCGATGCTTTTCAAAGCAATTCAACACACAAACTTTGCAACACGTCTTACTGCTATCCGATTTTCCTTTCTAAAAAAAAAATTCGTAAGACGGAGTAGAGCAACAATGCAGATGTGGCTCGCACAGTCAGAGCTGATGCTCCAGCTACCGGCAATTCACCCCAAGCACGAGTCAGCGGATCCCAGTTTTCTAGAAAACGTCTCGGATTTTCCTTGCACGGGTTCAATGCAAAGCAGGAATGAAGCACACGGCCATCCGTGCCTTTTCACCTTCGCGTCCACTTGGACACGGGAGGGAGCACCGCTGGACACGCGCTGTGGAATTCTGAACGCGGCGGCCAAAGTGCAGCCCCCTTGCAGTTCGAGGCGTCCCTACCCACATCCCGATGCCTGCCATGGAGGCCGGCGGTGTTTGAACAATTCGCAAATCAAGCTCATGCAAGCAAATTGTTACTCCCCTACCACCGCACGCAGATTTTATGTGGGTCCCTCCCCCCCCCCCCCGAATTAAGGGCTCTGCTAAAATTTTGAGGCAAGCACGAGTGATCCAAGGGGTGAGCCTGACCTAAGATCCATGTGCATTGGTGCAGCGAACTCTTCCTCCCTCACCACCAGGCCTCCAGGCTCCCTGCGCGGCCAAAAACCGACGAGCAACCCCGCAATTCCCGGCTCCGTGGCCGGGGCGGATCCAGCACGCAGGACCCCGGGACACGGTCCCACTCTCCCGCTCTCTCTCCGTAGGCTGCGAGCCGCGGACCCTGCAGGGTGCCCCTTCCTCCCGCACACCTGGGAGGGAAGCCCAGGCGCAGCTGTCCGCTCGCGGGCAGGGGCTGCACGGGGCTGCAGGGAGGCAGGCAGGGGCTGCACGGGGCTGCACGGGGCTGCAGGGAGGCGGACAGGGGCTGCACGGGGCTGCACGGGGCTGCACGGGGCTGCACGGGGCTTGCAGGACGGCCGGCGCGGGGCCAGCCGGGCTGCGGGAGGCCCGGGGCAGCCCAGCGAGTGCGCACCAAGGCCGGGGCGCAGACGTCAGCAGCACCCTCTCTCCCTCTGCGGCAGGCCGGCTCTGCCCACCCCTGCCCGCCCCTGCCCGCCCCTGCCGGCCACCTCGGCCCAATCCCGGCGCTCAGAGGGCGGCACGGGCACCACGAGACCCCGCCCCCGGGCCGGGCCGCCTATAAAGAGCGCGGCGCGGCCGGCGGCCAGCAAGTTGCGGTGGTGTGCGAAGAGCTAGGGATGCAAAGTACCATGTTCCTGGCTGTTCAGCACGACTGCGGAGCTATGGACAAGAGCGCCGGCAACGTCCCTAAGAGCGAGGAGAAGCGGGAGAAGATGAAACGGACCTTGTGAGTATGAGACCCGCCCTCCCCGCGGGCTCCGGCCGGCTGCAGGCTGCGGGAACAGCTCGCGCGGTGGCCTTGGCTCGAGAACCCGGGCGCGCTCTGCAGGCCGCGCAGGTGCTGCAAATGAGCGGGCGGCCTTTGTCTGCAGCTGCCCTGCTGCATCGGGGGAGGGGCTGCCGCCGCCGCCGGAGTGTCTCCTTTCAGCGGCAGCCCCCACCCCTCCCAGCGCGTCTCACGCAGTCACGACTGTGGCGTGGGTCATTGTTGGGCGGCATCTGCTTAGAGCTGCGCTTTGGGTTGGCGAGGGGGTGTGGGAACGCGGATGCGGCCCCCGGCCCCCCCCCCCAGACGCACACACCCTCTCCCCGTGCACGGCCTGTGGTGTGCCCAGCACTCACCGTGGAAATCGGAGGAGCCAGGATGGTCCACAAAGCGGTAACGCTGTGCTCTGCTCCATCCAGTGCAAAATGTCTCCGAATTGTAGTTAAGCTGCCGCCCTAAGTGAGCCCGAAGAGCTCGCTAGATGCATGCAGGCATCCTAGTGATTTGAGGGGTTACCTTTCGGTGCAGGATATAAGTGCGGGGAGGACGGAACACCTTAGCCCAAGGACATTATTTGGTAAAAGCATATTCACCTGCAATACAGCATTAAAGCACCTAGTGAATGTCTTTCTTTTTTTCTTCATTTTTTGAAGGTTAAAAGATTGGAAGACACGATTGAGCTACTTCTTGCAAAATTCTTCCACTCCTGGGAAATCCAAAACTGGCAAGAAAAGCAAACAGCAAGCTTTCATCAAGTAAGTGAGGAATCCTGAGCCTGCAGCTGTGGGCAGCTCTCTGCTGAGCTCGGGAGGGGAACTGCCTGCCAGGGTCCCAGCTAATTGCAGAACTTGTCTTGCAGGCCTTCCCCGGAGGAAGCCCTGCTGTGGTCAGAAGCCTTCGACGAGCTGCTGGCCAGCAAATGTGAGTTCACCTTGAATTTGTTCTGTGGAGCCACAGGGGTCTGGAGAGGTTGTGCAAGGGACAGGTCCCCCGAGGAACACCGGGGGCCTCTTACTGTCCCCCCTTCCCGAGGTGTTCAGTTCAGACAGGGAAGATGGATGAACCTTAACTACAGCCATCCTCAGGGCCGCTGGCCGCGTGAATCAGCTTTTCCATTGCATGTGATTGCGCGAGACATTTGGTTCCCAGAGAATTTATGGCTCAATCGTACAGAGATGCAGACGTAACAGTCCCTGTCCACGGCGGCGTTAGCAGGGCACCATGTCCAGCCCCCCGCCTCTCAGGAGCTGAATTCGGAGGATTCTGGGATTGAGGGGGGCCTGTGGAAGAGCAGCAAACTGGGTCACTCACTTCCTCACCTGCATCTTTTTCTCTCTGTCCCCACAGATGGGCTGGCTGCATTCAGAGCTTTCTTAAAATCTGAATTCTGTGAAGAAAATATAGAATTCTGGCTGGCTTGTGAAGACTTCAAAAAAACAAAATCGCCCCAGAAGCTGTCGTCCAAGGCAAGGAAGATCTACATGGACTTCATAGAGAAGGAGGCCCCGAAAGAGGTAAGCTGGGGTTCCTCATGCCAGCCCAGTGTGGATGCCCTGGTGCCAGCCCAGTGTGGATGCCCTGGTGCCAGCCCAGTGTGGACGCCCTGGTGCCAGCCCAGTGAGGTCGCCCTGGTGCCAAACAGAGCGAGGAAACTCATTCCAGCCAGCTGGTGGGAGTGTGGGGAGGGGCTGTCCTCCCCTGGGTCGGGTTTGCAGCTGGAGTAGGAAAGCGCTTTATCTAACCCTGAGTACTGCATAATCAGAGCACACTTGCTTTATTTCAGATCAACATAGACTTTCAAACCAAGAGTCTTATTGCCCAGAATATACAAGAAGCTACCACTGGCTGCTTTACGACGGCCCAGAAGAGGGTGTACAGCCTGATGGAGAATAACTCTTACCCCCGATTCTTGGAGTCCGAGTTCTACCAGGACTTGTGTAAAAAGCCTCAGATCACCGTGGAGCCACGAGCCACATGAGACTGCTCGGGACGCACTGGAGTGGAGGACGTTTCTTTGTTTCCTTAGGGGGAAGGCCGTGAGCTGCCAGGGACTGGCCTTGAATTCAGCCTGGGTGTCTAGGAAACATCGCTCAGAACTATTGATTCCACACTGGGTGGAGAGGCGGGAGGCCTGCGACTGTCTGGAAGAAGCTTGTCTGAGCTCAGCTTCCAGCACTGTACAGACGCAGGGAGGGACCCGTGGTCCGCGGCGTGCCTCACCAGAAGGCACGGACGTGAGACAGATAATGCTGTGATACTGTGGATCCCAATGCATTTAAAATCAATAGGTCTGGGATTATGTGGCCTTAGCTAGCTGGCTGAACATCTTCCCTGAATCGGTCCATGTTACCACATAGTGGCTTTAGCTTTAGGTTTTGAGTCCTAACATGAACATGTTTACTGTGTGCAAGAGTGTTGACCTTCTTGTACTTCAGATCATCTGTACTCACGCACTGCTGCACCTGCAGTGGAGTGTTTGACCTGTTGACCTGGTGTGTGAAACTGAGTGAGTGCCCATGTGTGGAGAACCAGTGTCCATTACGAGTGCCAAAAACTGTCTCGCAGGCAGCTAAACTCTGAAGTGGTCTTTGCATATTTTAATAAATTTATTTTGCTAAGTAATGTCATTAAATATTTGCGTTCCAGGTGTGCGTTGATTTGATTTTGGTCATGGGAAATGTGAACCTAAGGGACATGACTTGGTCATAAAGCAGAGGCGAGTGCTACTGCGCCTGTGTGCTGGGAACACACGGCAGGAAAGGCAGAACCAGCCTGGCTTAGGATAAGGAAGGAGCTAGGGACGAGGGGAAAGGTGTGGAGCCAAACACCAATGCTAGCATCATTGCACTTGGCCCGGGAAGAAAGGAGCCAAGAGAGGGGCATGGGCACCTGTCCCTACTAGCTTTTTCTGACTGCCACACTCGCAATGGGTACAGGCATTGGCTTCCAGAAGCTGTGTCTGGAAATGGCTCCCTCCCATGGTCGATCGCCACAAACTGCATTTTCCCTACTCACCTGCCTAGCACAGGATCTGAAGGTGTCACCTAAGATAAGGAAGGCAGAAGAGGCCCGTTGTTTCTTAGATCTAGCCTAAAATTGTGCCAGTTTTCCTAAGGGAATGGGGGAGGTCTGGATATCAGGCTGATTGAAACAGGCTGCCTTCCTGGCTTTCTCAATTAAAAGAAGAGGGGCCCTTACCTGGGACATGGAATGGCTACTGGGGCTTCTGGGCCTTGGGAAGCTTCCGGGGTCTTTCCTGGCTCATCTGTCCCCTTCCTGTGTCCAGGGATTTCAAACCTAAAGCGCTAGAGACTGCGTTCAGTTCTGACCTGCCAAAAGGAAACTCGGCCTCTGGGAGTTTCAGTCCTGTTGCCACTGTGACTGCACTGATTCTCACCTGGCACCAAAGGGCACGTAATGCATACAGGCCACTGTGCTCATTCCTGTGTCACTGGCAGCTAGAATGGCACATAGCACAGAAAACCAGAATTTAGACTCCCAGGACTGCTAAACGGCACAGACCTTGTTCGGGTGGCGCTCCCCAGGGTTCCAGCTTGTCTCTTAGAAACCTATTCCACCAAACCGTTTAGGGGGCAAATATTTGTGAAGGCAAAGGCTTTTCTGGATTAGTAAGGTGTAAAAGAGTAGAAGGGAGAGAAAAGCTGGTACAGCCCCAACCGCCAGCAACAGCTTGATGGGTTTAACAGAGCTCCAGTTATGCCCTAGGCAGCCAACCCTTCACACATTCCTTTTCCGGTGTCATTGTCATTCTCATCTGGATCTCACTTGTGTCCCACTTCTCACCAGTTCCCCAGAAACTATTTGAACATCACTTCTCATGTTGGACACTTAGGCTCAGAAAAGTATTTGAACATCTTGGTATCTCTCAAATTATGGAAAACTCTTGCCTAAAGCTGAAAAAAAATCTTTCTTAGGTGATGTTTACGTAGTTGACCAGGATGGGAAGAATCTAGGGTTTTGGAGAAGTGCATGTGATCGTTTCCAATTTCTTGGGGGAGCGGAGAGATAAGGGGAGACGCCATACCCAGCCTCTTAACCTTCCCAGTACCCAAATATGGGAAAGGCCACCCGATATCAAGCCAGGGTCACAGCGTGGTGCGTGGTCTGAGAGGTGGTTCTGCCCAGGTGGTGTGATAGTTCTGAAATGCTGTCGATCTTACCAATCTATGGATGAGGAATCCTTGCAATGTCCACTGGCTGAAGCAGTCGACTTTATCGACCCCATTTGCCCAGCTATTTGCTGTCATTGTTTGGCTGGGGTAGTTGTCTCTGCATGTTCCAGTGAGCTATTTACTGTGTCCTCTGTGAGCACAATGATCTGCCATCCAGCAGGCCATGCTTTACACTGAGGAAGACCAGTTCTCCCGGGTGGGCTCACGGACCTGAGCTAGGTGACCCAAGCCCATCCAGATCCACCACCCCAGGGGCTCACAGACCTGGTACCCACCACGCAGGTGGGCTCAAGACCCTGGGCCAAGCAACCCAGCACCTGCCTGACCCCCCACCGTGGGGCTCATGGACCCAGCACCCACCACACAGGTAGGCCCAGTGACCTGGCCCAGGAGACCCAGCCCCTCCAGATCTCCCAACCCTGGGGCTCATGGTCCCAGAAACCACCATGTAGGTGGGTGCGGTGACCTGGGCCAGGACACCCAGGCCCCTCAGGACCTTCCACCCCTAGTAAAGCTGGAAATTCAAATAACTTGCTTGTTTACTGCCCATCTATTTAGGGTTCCTGTGATAAACTATCTCCTATCATCGGATCCAGTTTTCCTCCTTTCTTAATAAGATCTCAAGGTCTCAACAGATTAGGCTGACACTTGGGAGGCCAGTCTCCTATCTCTACGCCCTGGTGTTAGTCCCAGCTGCTCTGCATCTGATCCAGTTCCCTAGTAAGTGCCCAGGAAAGCACCAGTATGTGAGCCCCTGAGACCCACGTGGAAGACCCGGAGAGAGTTCCAGGTGCCCATTATCACTTCGGCTCAGCCTCAGGGGGCTGCATGCACCCATGCTCATTCAATCTCTCGCGCTCTCCCTTCCAAATAATTTTTGTTTATATATATACTCATAGATATATATACATATATGTATTTTTTTTCACTCATTTTTCAGACTGTGAACAAGTGTCACCTCCATGAATTATTCCCAAGGATATGTAAATCTTATCTCAACTAACTGGCCACTAATTGGATTATTCTGACTTACTCCATTTTTAGTCACTTTAGGAATATCCCAGTAGTTGCAAAGTTCTAATTGATTCATTGACTGGTTGAATGACTGATTCACAAACTCAGAAGTAAAAATGCATACCATGATATAAATAATTTCATTAAGTATGTTAAACTCCTTAGCCAGAGGAAAAAAAAGCTTTCAGGAGTCTACCCAATTTTTTTGGTTTGGCTCTACACTTTTGCCTTACAAATTTAGGGTATAACAGCTCTGTGGATCTTGGGTAAGGTCCTAATTCTGGAATTGCCATTTTACCTTATATTTACATGGTTCAAAAAGTGCACTGACCTATATGGAAACTTCCCTTAGGAGCCAGGCTGAGTGTTTATTTAGCTGGTGTATATCTTGGGCTCCTACAGACGTCACACCAAAACCAAAATAAGGAAAAAGAGAAATAGGCCAAAGGGAGAGGGACAAGAAATGATTTCCTGCTGTCTACTTTGGGATGCCAAGAGACCTAAATTTGTTTTAGAAAATGTATTTGCAAATTCCAATCCGGTTGGGCTATTGCTAAACGACCCTCTTGGCCTTAGCTTCAGAGTGCAGCCATAGGTCAGGCACAAGGAGAGCATTTGGAACTCAAGAAGCTGTGTATTATTCATGAGCTTGGCACAGACTGAGAAGAACCTGGTACAGTGTCAGCTCATCCGGCAGTGGGTACGTGCATGCTGCCTGCAGAGAGGATGGCGGTACGAATCCTGCACCTGGCACAAGCTGGCACAGGCTCACACAGCTGGGCTCTCCCAGATGCGGCCTTGGAGCACTGTAGCCTGGATACCAGGACTTAACCTTCTACTGCTTATTTCTTGTAACTCTGTCTTTAGCTTCCAGAATTTGCCAAATGCTATAACACCTCATAAGTGCTAGCAAGATGCTCCACTTTGAAACAAGACTGTTCAGTAAGGTATCTCTGAACTTTGACAATTTGTTTTCCAGAGAAATTAAAAAGAATTCAAGTTTGGTGAGTAAAGTCAGTAAAGCAGTGCTGTCCAAGAAAAATATAATAATGCTATATTATATAAAATTTAAGCTACATATGTAATGTTTGAATCATGTAGTTAAACTAACACAACTTTAAAAAAAAGTTGAAATGAATTTTAATATGTTGAATTCATCCAATATATTTAGAACATTACTATTTTAATACACAATCAAGATAATAAGTAGCCAAAGAGATATTTAATTTGTTTTTCCTTAGGCCTTCAAAAATCTGTATGTATTTCACGCTTGCAGGATCTTCTGTCCTCTGGCTCACTCCCCAGATTGTCTTCTGTTTCCTGCAAATAGGCAGTCAAGCCAATCGCCTGAAGTCGAATCCCACCATCATCTGCCAGCGGTGTGGCCAGCTGTGGGCATGTCATGGAACTTTTCGACTTTGGACTTTCACTTTCTTATCTAAAATTGGAGTCCAAACAGACTTTCCTGTGGGTTTTTTTTTTTTGTTCTTTAAAAAAAAAATACCTAGTTAACTGATACAGGTAAAATTCTTTTAAAAGGTGTTAGCCAATGACGCTTACCAGTAATGATATTCATTCAAATGCTGGTTACTAACATGAATTTCATGAGCTACTGATTTTTTAGGCTTGATGGAAACCAGTAAATATTGTTGCGTGGAAGACCTCTCTAATTCTCAGCCACTGTGGAAATCTAGAATAGAATGGATTTGTCGGCTCCTTACTAGAATTAAAACTAATATCACCAACAGCAAAACTCAAAAATGCTGAACAGCAACTTTTTGGAAAAGGGCTTCCCAGGCTTATATTAGAACTAGAGTTGAAAGCTGTGTTGCTTTTATGCATCCATCAGTATTCATCTAGATACACAGCTAGGTATTGAAGACCTCGGGCCACATTTATACAAAAGGAATCACTCACTATTGACAAGGTCCTTGGGCCACATTCGTGCAGGAACCCCGAGTGTGGAAGAGATCCTTTTTGTTTCAGTCAATTGCCCCCTCAATATTTTCCATGCTTATTTCTGTCATTAGGATAATTTTTGTCTGCAAGCACTAGAAAACTTCAATCCAGCCAGCTTGAAAAATAAGGAAATTTGAGAAAGAATGTCAAAACCAACGTTGTGTAAGTGGAGCTTCCTCCATGTCTCAATGTCTCCTCTGGTTTGGTTTTCCTCTGTGTGCAGCTTTGTAAACAGACTGGCCCCCATCATGTAGGGGATGGTTGCCACCAGCAAGGAAAGCAGTGCTTCCAAGAGGAAACAACACTGCTCCTCCAACGGTGTGAATCCAATTTCTCTTTAGTTTGACTGGATCAACAGAACAGTTGAAAAGTTCTGCACTGAACTCATGAAGTCATGGTTATTGAATGGCCCTTCCCACAGGGTGTGGGCTTCCCAGCGTGCAGTACCATTC